TTCAATAGGAAGGCAGCTGGAGGAGAGGCAAACACGTTGATATCAGGTCCTTGGCCGAGTTGTTCACAAGCAGCCTTCCAGCCCGCCTTGAAGAAGATGTCTTGGGTGGCATGGACCTGCTTAGTGTAGTTCTCCTCGGCCTCCTTGAAGCCGACATTGTTTGCATCCTCCAGCTCCACATTTCTTGATTGCTTCAACGTCTCCAGTTCGGTCTTGAGCGCATCCCTCTCTTGCTCGTCAACACCAAGCTGGCCGAGCAACCTTGAGTTGTCAAAATTTTCCATCTCGAGCGAAACCTTTGATCGCCCCAGCTCGGCTTGAAGATGTTTGACCTGGCTAGCAGAGTCGGTTGCCTTCTGCCGGAGTCGGTGGATCCTTTCCAACACCAAGTGTTGTTTCTGGATGGCCTGCAAGAAGAAAGTTTGATCAGAAAGGAGACCGAGCAAACACTTGGAGGAAACCGAGCATACACTTGGAAATATTTTTAGCAAAATGTGCAAAGTTCTTACCCTGGTCATAGACTTGACCGAGGATTTCGCCAGTCGGGTGTCCGGCACATGGTCGCTGCTGACCACGTCGCTCGGTAGTAGCAAGGCTTTGGAGAGGTCAAAGGCGAGTAGATGCTTCTTGTCGCCTTTGACAGAAGCTGACGCTGTGATCTCTTTACCCCGGTGCTTGAGTTGGGGCCTCCACGACGGAGTTGGGTCAGTTATCACAGCAGGTTACTCGGTGTTGAGCTCCGCAACTAGCTCGGCGGAAGGGTCTGCATGTGGCCTTTTGCCAGTCCGGCGGTTGTCTTTGCTGGCTTGCCCGGCGGCGGGAGACGCTAGTGCAACCACGGTCCCGCTAGATTTCCCGGCAGCAGGAGAGCGGGTTGGGATGCTCGATATCTCGGTGGAGGTGGCAGTGATGAGGTTCTTGATGCGGCTTCTTTTGGCCATCTCTTCTGCCTCGGTCAATCGGATGAATGGCACATTCGGTAATGTGGGATCGGGAGGTGGAGATGGAGCGCAAAGAAAGTCTATGACTTTACTCCGGCGTGGAGCTAAATATTTGTATGTTGGTTTGTAACCGAAGAGCTCGTGGCAATCCCGGTTACGGTAGTGGAGCACGGTTCTAATGGCTGCTTCGTTGGGATAATGATAGTGGGCTTGCAAGGCTTCGATTGCTGCAAAGGAAAGAAGAAAAAATGTCAAGTACAAAATAGTGAAGAAAGATAAATTGATTGAGCAGTTAGCACGGCTTACATGTGTCGTCGAAATTCTTGTTGATAAACCAGCCCGGTACGTCGGCTATTTCGTAGTTACCAGACATCCAGAAAAAGTCATCGTCGTGCAAGTCCTTGCCTGGTGTGTCGGTCACTATCTTTTCCTTGCCCGGTCTGATTTTTAAATAGTAGGCAAGGCCATCGCCTGTATGCCCAAGGGTATACTGGCGCAGTATCTCGGCTAGTCCTAAGTTGGTTCCTAGCCGGTTGTTCAGTTCGTGGATCCCGTTGATTATTCTGTAAGTGTTAGTTGAGACCAGGGTTGGGGCTAGCCTGGTGCGCCACAAGAATTCGCAGATCAGCGGGTTAACCGGGAAGCGGAGGCCCCCTTCTATAATGGACAGCACGGTGAAGAGACACTGGTCTAATCTGACCCATGGGGTTGTGTCCTCAACGCCTAAATGAACGTCGCCCGGGATACTGTACTCTTCCCGGAATGCGGCCAGGGCAACCGAAGTGTCGACAAGGAAACAGTAGCGCCCCATGTGTAGCCGACTGGTTTAGCTCTGCTGAGGTGGTTTAGCACAGACTGGTGTTTGATGGCTGCTCGGTCTTTGAGAGCCTCGGTATTGGTCAGTGGTCCCCTTGGACTCTGCAGGAAAATGAGGGTAATTGTAAGTGGAAGCGCGGTCGCACAAAATGAGCTTGACTTTAGCTTGGTCAGGAAGAGTGCCAGATCATCTCGGTCGCGAGGCAAACCAAGGAGCTCGGTCACTCAAGCGGACCAGATGCCAGCTCGGTCGAGCAGCCAAGTCCTCTTCCTACCTCGGTTTCTACTAAGGTTTTGGCAAATTTGTAGTTTGCTCGGTCTTAACATTTTTTGGGATCAAAAGAAGACCTGGAGCCCGGTCCGCCCCAGATCTTCAGGTGTTCATTAGTGAAGCTGAAGAACAGCAAGGAGAACAAGAGGCAGGGGAGAGTTTTGGGGAGCTATACCTTAAAATCTATGGTTTTAGTGCCCTAAAACAAGAAATATCAAATGAAACAGCGTCAAAAAGATTCGAAGAGCTTACCAGTAGAGGCGAATGCAGATCCTCAGGCACGAACGCTGAAGGAGGGCAAGAGTGGGAGCTGTTGAGGGCACTAGAGCTCTGGATCGACAAGAATGAAAGAGAGTCAGTAAGAAGGAAAAATGAAGGGGAAGAGACGTATAAATAGAAGTGAGAGACCGCTAAAAATTTTGAATTTGAAGGGACGTGATGGTTGGTTGCTCGAGGCCAATAAACGAGCGACGCGTGTCCCAATTAATGACGGCGTCAGAGTTGAAGAGACAAGAAGACGAGATGAGACGTTGGCCGAGCAAATCGAGGAACCGAGCACTGGAATTAGTGCGGTTGACGTCTTGCAAACAGCAGACCGATGAAGGATCTACCCTGGTCGGATCATATAATCTCGGTTACGCTTTTGCAGATGGAATTGAGGGGCAATTGAGAGGGAGATTTTATGAGCTGGAAATGGGCCATGGTAAGGGCCGGGCAAATTGAAGGTCGAGCGCGTTTGGGCCAGGATAGCTTTGGGCTTGCAGGGAGATAGGGCTGCTCGGCTAAAGCCCAAGACCGAGCTATTTGAACTTGTACAGGTAGGAACCGTGCTACTTACATTGCTCGGCGGGAAGGCTTGCGTCTTTAGCTTGGCAGAAAGGCTCGCGCCTTTAGCCCGGCAGGAAGGCCTTTGTTTTACCCGCGTGACCTATTTCGAGCTCGGCTCTACCGGAATGCAACTGAGCTCGGTCGGTATGGAGCTTGGCTTGTGAGCATTCGGGCATGCGGCGCAGCACGGCCGTGTGAGGCCGAGGTGACTCCGCCGGTCTGCCGAGCTCCGCTAAGATATCCTGACAGTTTGGTTAGGTGGTGATTGCTGGATTTGTGCTGACAGATGGGATAGCAGCACCATGTGTCGAGAGACTAATGAGAGTAGATTTGGAGCGCAGAAGGTATACAAGCGTGTCTGCGCCCCCTATGCTGGACAGATGATCATTTGGTGAGATACACTTAGACATTCAACTCTCTCCTCTCTCTATCTATCCCTGAGTGTGTGCTAACTTGACCGTCGGAGGGGTCGTCCGGCCACACACCGCCAGGTAGCTCACCACCGTTGTGTTCGCAGGTCGATCGGACAAGCAGGAAGCTTGAAAGAAAAGAGTACGGACTTACCGGAATATTTGCTCCTCGTACAGAAACCTTTCTTGTAAAAAGGGATTAGGAGATCAAAGGTTCCATCTAAAGTGAAACTTTAGCATGGACGAGAATCTGTGAATAAATTGTTTTTATTTTTATTTTTCTTTTTATCTATAGTGGGGATTGCTCTGGGTGGGTGTGGTGGTGATTAGAATGGTTGGGAAGCCATGTCATTGTACTTTGTACATGGTATATGAAGTTTTTAGAGAGAGAAAAATATGATAACTTTTGAAGGGACGGAATGGAATTGTGCTTATCTCCTCAATATTTAGGCATGATTTGGAAATTTTAAAAAAATTAAAAAGTAAAAAAATTATAAAAAAATAAAAAAATTATCATTATTTATAAAAAAATTAATATATATAATATTAAAATACAAATTAATTTCACGTCACTTTAGGTACTGAGCAAAGGTAGTGAAAGGAGAAAAAAAAATTACATGTATATATTCACTAAGTTGGATGGTAAAGTTGGACCCGTAAGGGCCCACCATGAGTCCTGTTTTGATAATCCGAACCGTGAATATGTAGAACTCGTTTAGTGCTATATATCTTTAAAAATTACATCTATTGGATATCACTAATTACATGATCAAATCAGTTTTGTATAAAAAATGGATGGCTTTATAGTTAACAGTTGACAAAAAAAATTAACACGATCAGATAACTATCGATATCCAATCAACCTGATTTTTTATAAACATATAGTACTCGATGAGTTCTACACATTAAGCGGTTCCGATTAGAAAAACGGGACCCGTGTGGGCCCCCACGAGCCAAACAACACCATTTAATTAAAATTCGAAAAGGAGACAATCTTTTTCCATCTCCTACCCAGTCGACTGTACTGCCCAACCTGTACGGCCTACTTCACTAACTTCTCCTATACATTTATTTATACAATTTTTTAATACATATTTTTTTCATAAAAAGTTAAAAAGTTAACCCACATATCCATATTTTTCTTCTCAACTTTTTAGTTCAAAAAGATAAAAAATACACTTATTGAAGATACCCCAAACAACCCCTTATTTTTTATTTTTTGGGGTTTAAATAGATAGCTCCCTTGTGTAGATTTTTTTTTGGAAGATTTGTGTATTCTTGTAGATATGTAAAGGGTGTGTAAGACTTTGTTCATCTATATATATTGAGAGTACAGAGTTGTTAAAAAAATATTATGCAATAATATAATTATTCAAGAAATTGATTAATAGATATATAACATAAAAAACAAGAATGCACATAAAATAATAGAAAGTAAAAAAGAATTTGTCAATAAGGTTAAGGCGCCTGTAGTCACTTTTTTAACAAGAATTTGTCAATAAGGTTAAGGCGCCTGTAGTCACTAATTACCCCTAATTAAACTAAGGACAAACCATCAAGAGGAAACATGTAACTCTCATTTAACAAGAATTGGTTCATGTTTGAAAATGCCTGAAGTTTAGGAAGCAACACATGTAACTTCCAAAACCGATATGGATTCATTAACCATGTTTTCGGAATTTTCCATGGACATGAGACAAACGCTAAAAACAGACATGCTTTTTCAGACAAGTAAAACAACTAAAATTTAAGGTATTTTATCACATAATCTACACACATTGCAGCTTATATATATGTTCATATAAATATCTTAAAGTAACCCTGTTTGACACACTGCACTCAGTTCCAATGTGACTGTTCATTTTACATAGGTAATAGAAAATCTGTTGCTCCTTATAGTTTTCTCTCTTTGAAGATTTAGAGACTTCCTGGCGGCACTGGTTCCGAAAGTATAAGAAAATGGAGTAAAATATCAACATATCCTGATTCCTGATTATCCAATTATGCAGTTCTGACTTTAAAAAAATTAAAATTAAAATTAAAATTGACAATGATCGGCAAAAGTCAACAACAATAACCTAACATATGCGAAGACAATGACCTAATTCCAAAAGACAGCCCAAACTAGCAAATACCAAAGGAAAAAAAATAAAAAAATCATGAAAACCATTAACTCCACCATGATACAGCTTTAGGATCAAGAATTTGGGTTGAACTTGGGTAGGGATTTGGAAAATGAAAAGAAACAGAAAAAAATGAATAAATAAAATATCTTATATTTTACTCTCCTTTTCCTTTCCCTTTCCAAATCACTACTCAAATTCATAATCCAAATCCAAACACAGCCTTCAGGAAAAACCCAATTTTTTACCAATCAACATATCCAACACGCAATTCTCTAAATGACCAAGTTAAGGATGTTTTTCAACACACCAATTTTTTTACCAAATCACAACAACCCATCAACACAAACAACATTAAAAAAACAAAAAAAAAACAAAACAAAACCCAGCTCTCCAAATTAACAAAAAACGAGATCTTCATCATAATTTAACTGAGAAGGGAATTCGGAAGAAGATGACAAACCTGTTGAGATTGAGACCCTTCAGAAGATAGAGGTTTCATCTGCTCATGTTGGAAAATGTCTTTACCGTAGAAGATAAATATGAAGATTGAAAAGGCAAAGAGAAGGATTGCGTAAACTATTGATCTATCTAACAATAAACAAGAAACAACTACCTTGGGGTGTGACAAATGTTGATAGTTTTTATCAATGATGTGTTGAAAATTCCATGTGGATTTACTCCTATTCTAGCCTCTCTCACAAGCACCAAACAGGTGCTTCCTCATTTAACCATATTAAACTAGCCAAAGTTCTTGTACAATATCCCCAAAAATAAAAAAATTCAAGTTTATAAAAAGAAACTTAAAACACATTATAAAAGAAGACTACAATTAAACCACAAGTTTATAAAAAAATTGCAAAACTACTTTTATTCCTCACTGTGCCATAATATGGCAGACAAACAATTGTCACTATTCAGCCCATAGCTCTTTATCAGGGCTTCCCAAAAGGAACTGTTGTGGTTATCTTACTAGATGGGTTTGCGATTTCCGTAAAATTTTTGTATCCTCATTTTCTCTAGTCGTGAAATTTTCCTCCTTAGGCTTAATATGGCCATCAGATTCAGGTTTGGCCACTGAATTCCTCTCCTCTGGAGGTAAAATCTGCTGCAAAAACCTATGTATCATCTCGTAGCTGGTAAATGTTATAACAGCAGATGGAGTCGTTCTAAATAGGTTAGTTGCACAACCTCTATGTCCACATGTCTATATCTATATATATATTTATATATTCATACACGTGAAGATAGAAATCTTGGTTGTCACAGATGAGAAAATCCAGACACTTACCTCGTGGGGGTAAGTCATTACAGAGGCAACTAATTTAGATACTGCTGAGGCAATCACAAGTTTCCCGGGACTTAGCTTACTGGTGGTTGTATTATCTGAACCATCAAGTATGATCATCATCAATCACATCTCATAATCACATTCGATTAACATCTACAGTCGATTCAAAAAGGAAAGAGGAAAAGAAAGAATGGCAAGAAGAAAACCTTACCCCTTTTCGCGAAGTAGGACTTGATCTTTTCATAAGCTGGAAATTGGATTGCAACATGACTTATCCCAACTAGTGAAGGCAAAAGACCACTGCTTAAACCACAAAAATTGGCATTATGACACTGAAAATATTTAGTTGAACAGTTCGGTAACTATGATGGCAAAAACATTCTCAGCTCATACAGCTTTAGACACTATGGTACTAACTATTTTCTACAAACTTTTATCTAGTTTACCAGAAAAAGGAGAACAAGCTGCATCAATGTGCAAAATCTCTGGTTCTGTACCGGTGAATCATGAAGCCTGAATCTACCAACTTACAAGTGAAATATGAAGTAAGAATTACTGACCTATACAACCCCCGTATTCCTTCCTCGTGTGAAATCCTTCTTAACGCAGAAAAAATGCCTTTGTAAGGAACCACACCTGGTCTCATTCCCTGTGTCTAAACAAGGAAAGAAATGAACATTGTGAATGATACAAATATGATATCATATAATAATCTTTAGAGATGCTAAAAAATCAATCAAATTAACATAGTTAGTAGAAGCAACACTCACAAGGGCTCAGTTCAAATCACTATCAAAGTAACCGGAACAACTCAATTTATGAAACACTGTAAATGTGCAAACCATAATTTAAGCACATGTCATGGTCATGCTGGACTACACAATTTTATTATTGCTGTTTGGTAGACCAGCCAATAAAAGGATACTTACTTAAGCACAGTTCAAGTTCATCTATTTAGTCTCAAGAAAATCACAAGGATAGATTTATTTGCCATCAACTTGGAGGAATATTTGGCCAACGTCAACAAAAGGCGAGTATCAACTTTGAAGAGTCTTATCACCTTGTACAAAGAGAGCTTAAGGACATTTCTTGTGAGTTTCTGTGGAACCCTTACTTGACACAATTCCGATGAAAGCTTTCCTGCTAAAAGCCAAATTTTTGACCTCAAAAACATATGTATATTCCAATGCCTAACTAAGAGAATTTCAGCTTGCATACTACATATTCTCGGTTCTGGCTGGTAGTGAACAAAACTAATATATCACTTCTAGCTAAAGCCATCTTCTACAAGTGAATTCTTAAATACAAGGAGTAGAAAGAAAAGTGTACAGAAAACATTCAAAGCCCCATTAAAATGTATGTAGATAGTCCTATGAAACCAGGAAATAGAGTAAACTCAAAGCCTAATGTGAGTGCAAGAGAATTTATTTTCAAGTTTTTCAACATATTATACGTTCAATGGCGCCAGTCAAAGTGTCTCTACGCATGCAATTAATCTTACTCTTCACAAACGTAAACTAAAACTTACTTCATTTCATGCTTCTGTCAAATTCCAAACCATGGACCAAGTGCCAATTCATTCTTCAACTGTGTGATACATGGTTTGCTCTAGAGCTCACCGAGTAAATTTAGTTAATATGGATGGGGCACCAGTAGGGGATTGACAAAGTATGGAAAGAAGGAAAAGGGAAAAATTTTTGGCTTTCAAAGCTTAACATATGCATAAGTTAACAATAGTGCATGCAAATCCTCCCAAAGGTATGTTAACCTTTATTTTATTTTCCTTTTATTTTTTGATTTTTGTTAATTTTATTTGACAATTCTGAAGGTATGTTAACCTTCTTATCCAAGAAAAGCATTTCTTTTCATTTAATTTTGAAATTGGTTTACAAGCTACAAATGAAGTGGTTTAGATTAATGCTACACACTTGTACAAAGGAATCATTAGGCAGGTAAAATTTAATAGTCAATTTGCACTCCTAATTCTGCTTTCCATATCTGCTTTATTTTATGTTTGCCAAGAGGCTTACTTGCAAAAGTCACTTTTTGCGACGGCAGAAAATGCCGTCTAAAAAAAGCAGAGCATTTGCGACGGCACAATTTGCCGTCTCAAAAAATGAGAGTATTTGCGACGGTATTTTCTGCCGTCGCAAATACTCTGCTTTTTTGAGACGGTATTTTTTGCCGTCGTAAAAAGTGACTTTTTGAGACGGCAAGTGTGCCGTCGCAAATAGTTCCGTCTCATAAATCCACTTTTCTTGTAGTGAAAAGAAGTGCAATAAGATATAATCCTAATACTCGCAACCTTCTTCGTTTAGTTTTCACATCCATTAGAAAGATATGAATAAGTCATGAATTAAAATTGCCCAAAAATACTATGAAATATAATTTGAACGAAATGTAGTTAAATGTGGTTGAAGTAAAGAGCATGAAGATAAAACCCTTCCAATTTTTGGATGCTCAAATCTCATTTGGATATAGAGATTTGGATAAAGGGCCTTGTGTAACGGTTATAAAATAATTGTGTACTTAAGAGAATTATTTTGCACATTAATAAGTAGGTTTAAAATATAAAATAAATTTAAAGTTACAAATCTTGAAATAATTTAATTTTAATTAAAATTTCCAACAGTCGTATTCCATTTATGCCCTATCTATAAAATAAAATAAAAAATTTATGAAGAACATAGGATTTAATTGGTATTTTTTCAGAAATTAGTAGGCCTGATTTCCCTAATTTTCTCTTATTTTTTTAAAACCTAAATATAATACATCTCCCCAATTTGTTAACCCTTATTTGTTTTTGTTTTTACGTTTTCATCCATAATATCACATGCATCCAATGATTATTTATTTATTTTATTTTTTTGAACTAACATCCAATGAAACTTTGAAAGGAATTACATACCTCTCTATTATGGAAGAGTATCCACATGCAAATAATGTAGTAAATTTGGATTTATTTATTTCAAATTAAATGATCTATTATTTTTAGAAGAGAAATGCTAGAAATTACCTAAAATATGACCTTTTAGGAGTTCATGAGCCCCATCATGAGTTTCGTTTTAATTATTTGAATAGTTTATTTTGTAGGGTTCTCTATGAAAATCATTTATAAAAAAAATTAAATCGATTTGATAATCGTAACATTTTTATTTTATTGTGTTTGTCTAAAAAAAAATATTTATTTTCAAAAATATATTTGTAATCCATTTTTTTGAAGGCAAACGTGATAAGAAGAAAATGTTATAATTATCAGATTAACTTAATTTTTTAATGAATAATATATATTAAGAGTTTTACAATGTAAATAATTCAAATTATCAAAACATAAGGTAAGTTTTATAAACCCCTTAGAGCATATCTAATGGTTGTTGTTATAATACCATTGCTATTGCTATAATTTGGCAATGAATAGTGCTATTTTTTCAAATTATAGTAATGGTGCTCCAATGGTCACTTGCTATTTTGGCAATTCTCAACCAACTTTCTCTCCAAGTTTGTAAGTGTTGTTTGGATATAATTTTTTTGTGATTTTATTTTTGTTTATTTTTTATCTTTTATAAACTTTTTTTAACTATTTGTAAAAAAAATTACATATTTATATTATTCCTGACTAGACATATATAAAAAATGAAAAAAATTAGAAAAAAAAAATATAATTCAATTTGAAAAATTACTTAGTTTTCTACTGTTTCAATTCTGCTTTTTCAACTGAATTTGGAGCCACAAATATGTTTATATTTGCTAATGTGGCATGTTTGGCAATTGCTATTTTACTTGTCAAATTTAAGAACATATATGGTATATGTCATTTTTGGCAAGTAAAATAAAAAGTCATTAGAGACCCACTTTTTATCACTATTACTAAATTATAGCTTTTGCAAGTTTTTTGAGAGTTACATTGGAGATTCTCTTAAGTTCACATTTAAACTTGAAAAAGAGTCAAATCTTAAAAATAGAAAAATTAATAAATAATAGAAAAATATTTGAGAGTCATAAAATCAGTGATTCAAATGACTAAAAATGTCAAAACGACGTCATTTTGCGTCGTTTTACGCCCAAAACAACGCCATTTTGATAATTTTGAACTATTTAAACCCACCCTCCACTATTGCTGTAAATAATAATAGTGAAGAAAGTAAGGTTTGAATAGTGGCTATATGGCATTGTCAAATCCTTGTCAAGTTCAGTTAATTAGTGTAAGCAAGTGGATGGACTGAAGTGCCCTTTTTGGAAGGTAAAGTTTCAACAAAATTTGTTTGGTTCTGAATTTTAGAAAATAATTTTTAAAAATTTTATTTTTTATATTTTAATATGTTTAATGATTTTTTTAATATTTTAAATAATTTTTTTAATTTTTTTTAGACGTACTTAATATAAAGGGAGATTTTTTTTAAGGTCCCTAATAATAACAATTTAGAGGATAAAGAACACCCAAAAAGATAGTGATGCATCACGTCCCTGAAACAACTTGGCGCGCATTTTTAATTATTTTGTGGACCAAAATACCCTTGTCAAAATCAACATAGAAACCAACTCATTCCGACGTCTGAGTTACATTCCAAACATCCAGCATCTTCACGAACAGGAGAACAGCAGAATTAGGGTTTCAACATCATCTGCACCATCGACATTAGAGCTTCGTTATCTTCTCCAAAAATCATTCCCATTCCTTCCTCACAAATTTCTCTGACCTAGGTTAAAGCTTCGTTTTCACTGCTCATCATCATCTCAGTCCATCTTCGTCACGCTTTGTAAATTTCTCTGGAATATGTATCCTTCTCTGCAATGTCAATTACACTCTTGCCTCTGTCTTAAGTTTCTCTGGTATTTATAATTTTCTCTGGAATGAATGTTTCTTCTTGGAATTTTCTCTGCCATATGTACTTTGAGAAAAAGTTATTTCTCTGAATTTTGATCTTATTCTTGAATATGTTTCTGTCATTTTGTCTCTGAATTTCTCTGCTTTGTAAATTTCTCTGGAATATGTATCCTTCTCTGCAATGTCAATTACACTCTTGCCTTTGTCTTAAGTTTCTCTGGTATTTATAATTTTCTCTGGAATGAATGTTTCTTCTTGGAATTTTCTCTGCCATATGTACTTTGAGAAAAAGTTATTTCTCTGAATTTTAATCTTATTCTTGAATATGTTTTGTCATTTTGTCTCTGAATTTCTCTGCTTTGTAAATTTCTCTGGAATATGTATCCTTCTCTGCAATGTCAATTACACTCTTGCCCCTGTCTAAGTTTCTCTGGTATTTATAATTTTCTCTGACCACATCGCACCACTTTCCTCCATTGAGTGTCTCTATCATGGTTAATTTTCTCTGCTTGTGTATGTAAATTTTTCTTGCATTTTAATATTATGAATTGAAATTTTCTCTGGAATGGAAATTTCCTCAAGAATGTGTAATTTTTTCCAGAATGTGCATTTTTCTCTGGTATGTTTATTTTGTTCAATTCTTGATTTCAATATGGTGTACTTCTCAGTGCCATGTTTACATTACTTTGTTTATTTTATCTTTGCTAATTGTGGAATGCAAATTTTCTTTCACTTGCCATGTTTACTTTTTTCTATCATTCATTTTCTCTGGTATGTTTACTTCTATCTGTAATTTAAAAAATTATTGAAAACTTCTCTCCCATGTTTATGATGCTGTGTTGATTTTCTCTGACATTTAATTTTTAATGTCCAATTTTCTCTGGTATGTCCAATTTTTTGTAATTTCCCTTTATCTGTAATTTTCTCTAGCATCTCCAATTTTCTCTTTTTTGTAATGTTCTCCCTTATCTGTAATTTTCTCTGACATGCCCATTTTTCTCTAGGATTTAATGTTGACATCTCTATGTTTTAATCATTGTCTAGAAATGGCAAAACGTAAAAGCAGCGAAACACCGGAAACACCAAGCAAAAAACAGAAACTGTCTCAGTCTTCTTATGGACTAGGATCAAAAACCAGCAGCAAAGCACTAGAAACACCAAGGAAGCAAGAACAACTCTCTCAGTCCTCTTATCATCTAAGATTAAAAACCAGCACTAAAACACCACAAACTCCTTCCCAAAACACACAAGTCCAAGCTGATGAAGCAACTAGCATCCAGATGAGTACCCCAACTTCAAAAGACTCAAGCTCAAGGGGGAAAAAACCTGTTAAACTCTACAGAAAGAGAGCTCACTACAGCATTCAATTCCGATCCAACCTCTCATCTGTCGTCTCCTTCTTTCAAACACTTAAATTCAGTTCAAAACATCTTCTAGAGCTTCAAAAGATCCCATTCTGGTATTTGATCCAAGCTCTAACCACTGGAAGGATGGATCCAAAGAAATCTAGGAAATCCGATGATGACGTAGTTGCTATAATCCAATGTTACAATGAAAAACACAAAAGCATTCACAGTTGGGAAGAAGAACCTGACCTTTACAACAAATGACATGACCTTAATTTTTGGTTTGGAAGGAGGTAAAGGAGCCATGTCATTAAGATACTCTAAAAAGCCAAAATCTGCATTCCTCAGGAGAAGATTCCAAAAGGACACAAGGCTCACTGGTCCTGTTCTTAAAAATACCTTAGTCAAAGCAATGAAAGGCAAGCAACCAACTGACTTCAAAGATGTAGCAATCATTGTTACATTGTACTTGTGTCTCACCCTATTTTTTGCAACAAGTGGGAATTCAATAGGTTGGGTTTTTATAAAGTATGTGGAACCTCTTGAATCAATGAAACAGTATGATTGGCCAGAAGCAATCACATCAACATTGATTGATTCTACCATGGCATTGCACAAAACTCCAGAAAAAGTTACGGGGTGTGTCATTGCATTGCTGGTAAGTATAATATCCATTCAAATTTACAGTTATCATACTTACAAATTTGTGCGTTTACAAAATTTTATTTACTTTCATTTTCATCACAGTATTGGCTATGTGAACATGTGTTCGGGATGGTGGGAAATTAAAAAAAAAAAAAAAAAAAAAAGGCTATAGTACGCTTTTAGGCATTTTTGTAACTACAACATCACCAAA